AATGACCGCACCGGGTCCATTTATAAGTAAACATTGACCACACCGGGTCCAATTATCCATATTTATAGCAAAACATGCAAGGTTACTTTAACATTAGTGCATATATGTAATAGTTATCATTTAAATCCACCAAGGTCTAATAAGCCTCAATATACCTCAATTAGTGTCCATTTGTATCCTTGGAACTAGAGAAATCCAAGTCCATTGGTGTTCTTTAAATCAAAGAAATCCAAGCCTGGAAGCTTAGTGCATAGTTTGAAAAATTTTGTTTTTTTTTTTTTTTAAGTCACCGTTCGAACGGCACTATTCACATTCAAACGTCCCTTGGTTTTGAAAAATAGGTAGCTCCCAGTACATTTGGTTCTCTGCTGGTTTTGCTGTTCAAAACTCGCACCATTCGAACGTCACTTTACGTTCGAACAGAAAATGCAGTTTCTGTTCTGCTGCAACTTCCAGTGCGGTGTTTACCTGTTTAGAAGTGGAATTGAGAAAATTTCATAAAAACACTTTTGTAGCCCTAGGTGTCTACTACCTACTGTAAAAATTTCAGATCATTTGGACGTCACAATAAAAAGTTATGGCTCAAACACTAAGCAGTGTCTGAAATTTCTGTGTAAACTGTGTATGGTTTCAACCCAAATCAATCCATTCCAAAACCAATCCAAACCAATCCAAGGTTATCCAAAACTTATACAACATCTATTTGATACCAAATATAGTCAATACAAGTTCTAATACAACTATTTCCATACTTTTACATGCCAAAATGGAAATTAACCAAAAGTTTTACAAAAACTAAATTCAAAAGCCACAACCCGGCTTTTCTTCAACCAAGAGCCCCCGAATGAGAGCCATCCACCGGGACGTGTCCCGTACCTGAAATTGTTTCCCGTATAGGGTGAGCACAACGCCCAATAGAGATAAACCTATAGAGGTTACTCTTCCCCTAGATGCACATGCTCATGTAATCATCACACAAACATACAACCAAGCATTTCTCACACTTATGCATCCTATGATGGAATGCAACAATGCTATGCCATGGAATGAAGTGACACTCACCCATGCAACTTTATTCCGAGCTCTCTCCGGCTCCCCAACACATGCAAGTGTCAATTTAGTCGAAACCACCATTTATGTTACACACAATGGCGTTAATCACTCTAGGGTCTTGTATAGGGGTGGATGTTCATGGACTTACACCAAGGGCCTCCAACCCACACGAAATTTACGGACTTCCACCGAGGGTTCCGAATACACCCACACACTTTATGGGCCGAGCCAAGGGAGTGCGTAGCCCAATCACCGGGTCTTGCACCCGAGAGGTCATCATGCCTCTTCTTGCTACCCCAACCCAATTCATCATGCAACCAAGCGGCTTAGCTAAGTCCTCGACCCAACTCTCCCAAGCCTTCCGTCAATCACCAAGTGTGGTATTGACGTCAAACATGCACTCACTCATGTAATGAGACACTTCCGTGCAAATGCAATGTGATGTTCCATTGCACACAAAATAATGCTCAATATGCTTATGACAAACATATAAACATTTTCATACATCAATGTAATTGTATCATAAGTATATAACTACCATATCTCATTATGCTCAATATATCATTTCATGCATATGTCAATAACACTCTTCATCCAAAAACCATATCCTAAGCATATGATTTCACAATCACCCAAGCATGTTATAACATAGCATCATGCAAGTAACACACTCAATTTCACTAGGGCATTTTATCAAACATCTTATAGTCATTCAAGTCATGTATTTACATAACACATTCCAAGGCATAGTTTATAAAACATATAGCATGCCTTAAGTTTTCACCAAGTTACAAAATAATCACATGGAACCTCCATATACCAAATTCAAGCTAGAAGCTAGCCTAAGCTATTCCTATGCTAATTTTTTTTTCACTTTCATACCCATAGACATATATGTATAACAATACATATGCATATACATAATTTTCACCCTTAGTCTAGCAACACCTAAGGTAAGAATAATCCAAAGTAGGAATAACCCCCACCTCTTAGGAGTGTAGAAAACCCCTAAAACACCAAAACCAACCCAAAAGCTTTGATCTCCAAAAATTCTTCCTTTGATTTTTCGGTGAAATCACTTTCTTTTGGTACGTAGACGTAGCCCTTGACGAGGAGAACAATCTTTGTTCTTGGTCCAAGCGGATTTGAGCACTAGAATTATGTAGATCATAGAGAGAAGTTGAAGCTTTCCTCTCCTTTCCCTCTCCTTTCTATCGGCTGAAGAGGCTGCTGAACAATGGGGGAAAAATCTGATTTTTCCCCCTATTTATACTTTAGAACACTTGGCCCACAATTGGCTACATGTTCATCTTTAATTCCGGGTCCGTTTTTGTCCCGAACAATTAAATCTCGCCCCGGTTTAAATCTAAAATATTTTTATTTCAATTTATCTTATTTTATTGCCCAAAATTTAAAATTTTATAAAAAAATTCGTGTACAGGGTCACCCGAAGCCCGATCGCTCCGTAAAACGTGAAAAATTTGACTATCTCAGAATTCGACGAAAATTGACGTGGTAACTCGATTTCGCGAGACGAATCCAACGGTGAGGTCCGTTTTGTCATCCGAGTTACAAAAAATTTCAGATTTACAACCCGAATCATGGTGACAATTTACCATTTTACCCTTTATTCATAAAAGTTTAAATCTACCCGGATTTTATATTCTCCAACTTGCCTCCTAGTTTTATCCGGTGAGACAAGTAAATCCCCTTCAAATACTCCCATATAATAGGGCCAATGTAAATATAAAAACCTCAACATCTTTAAACAAACCTCTTTTCAAAAAATTATCATGACCCATAGATACAACAATTCACCATTTACAAAGAAGCATTTAAGGAATCAGAATTAAAAAAAAAAAAGCATTTAAAGAATCCACTAATTACCAAAATCACACTCATAAGCCACGTAAATGTAAGTAATTTAGTTTCCAAACTATATAAGTATACTTACTTAAGCACCCCCACACACTAACTCACTTTTCCGCACCGGGTATACTACTAGCAACAAAAGTTGACGCGGTGTTCTCAGCACCTAAAACAACATATTCCATGACTCTAGTAAGTATCATTTTGAGATATAACAATTTAGATACACGAGAGCTTGTATGCATATTTTAATCTTAGGTTCAATTTTCTTCCTTTACTTCAACTGTTAAAACACTTTTGACCTAATATTTTGGACATTAATTCCGCCTTTGCAGTTTGTAACCCATAAATCTATGCCCCCATTTCCCAATATTTCAGCTACCAAATACCCTATCCAAACCTTGACAAAAGTTTTCAACACCTAAGGAAGTTGTTTTAGCTTCTAATACCAAATTTCAGATTTCAACTTTCATCCTATCAGCTTAATTTTTTGTGTTCAAAAATCAACAACATAGTTTCAGCAATAAATTTCAGCAACCTAGTTTCTTACCAACTAAGTTATAACTTTAAAATTCAGATTAAGTTTAGCCTGCTTATTCCTTTTTTCAGACGTTAACTTTGTCATCATTAATCTCAAGCTTAACAACCAATAGTTTGATTACTTAAAAGATCATAAGGTCCCATGCTACACCAAATAAACTCTCTTATTTTGATCCTTTAAAAAAAAACTCCCAATCAACTAAGTAGTCAAGTTTCCAAATACTTAATCAAAACTAACTTTCTTTATTACATACAATTTTGATCAAATCAAGGTAAATATCAACAAGTAACCATGCTTTTAGAATTATTTTATTCAAATAAGCTACGTATTATGTTTAACTAAAAAACATGTCAAGCCACTTTTTTTTGCTACAGTATTTCATTACCGAATTTACCAAAAAAAAATAAATAAATGCAAATTACAAGTTGCAAAACGTAAGCCTACCTCCCTTTCTTTTTATTCACCCTAGCACTCAGTTTCTCCACTTTTCCCGCCGGCCTTCCACACGGATCAACACATACAATTATTTATTTCAAAAGTTTAAATTGGACCTTGTGTTCGAATTTTTTTTTAATAATTCAAGTGACAGTAAGATTTGAACACATAATCTTTTACTCTGATATCATATTAAATAATCATTTAACTCTAAAAATTTAAACTATTTAAAAAAATATGAATTAAATATTTATAGTTTAGCATAGCTTGTACACCCAACTATTTGACGGCTTATACACCTAGACACTTGATTGGACACCGTGCACACCTAGACGGATTACAAAATAATATGTTGGTGATAGAATGGCTTAAAAAGGTGACAAGAGGCTTGACAAGGCAATTTTTATTATTTACATATTCCTCCCTTTGATATTACGTATCTTATTTTTCACCTCAGAAATTTTTAATAATAAATTACATCTAAATCCCGTAACTTTTAAAATTCAACTACCATGCATGCTTTGGGCTTCACAGATCTACTATCTCTGTTCATTCCTCCGACGATTTAACTTTACAGTCGCTTGTGTCTGTTAGAAGCTAGTGTTCTATATTGTCCTTTTAAAAATTGTTTTTTTGTCTTCTATTGCCACAGCACTTGTTCGGCTAGAACCCTGTGGGTGCGGTTATGAAGCTCCGTTTAACTCAATATTTATTGAAATCTTGCTAGCTTCTCCCTATTAGAGTTGTTTATGGACATGGCCAAATGGTTACGTTTTCCACGTTGTCAACAAATTCGTCCATCAATGACTCAGTCGAATTAACCTGCCAACAACTTCGAAATTCCAACACAAAAGGGGTTTCTATATCAAATTGGTTCAAAAGGAAACATCTTCCTCTGTTCATTCTTACTCTTATCCAAATTATTTACAATACTGTTTCAATCCCAATGATCAGGTCCTATGACAAGGAGCTGAGTGACCTTCCTCCGAGGGAAACAAGACGATCATTATGGTTAAACCCCAATCCTGTCCAACCTTTCTCCCACACACAAGGTAAAAGTGTTTTCCTTAAAATCTGAGGTCCACAAATGGGCATTCATTAATCACCTTTCTGCAAAATATTTTACACCTTCCACACATTTTGAGACAATTTCTTCAAAATCACGCAACAGATCCATGCTAGGAATGAATGCTGTGTTTGATTGTTCAATATAGACCAAGATCGATGACTCTAGCTCATTACTTGATGACCATAAAACCAACCATTCTATGTGGATCACATTACCTTCATCAATAATAGCTTTCATACGGAAACCAAAATAGTCATTTGAAGAGATCGGCCAAACCGTGGGATCCCAAGCACTCCACAATTCCAAAATAGGCCAATCATAGCTCTTGGCAAGACTGAACGTTAATCTCCGCAGTTCATGAACAAGAGAGGGGGCCTACCTGAGACATTGCTCTTTTTATGCTTTTCTGAATCTCCAGTTGTCCATCCCATACGGCAGAAAATTGGGAAACCCTGGTTTTAGATTTATAATTACTCCGATTCCAAGATCACCAATGTAACTACAAGACATAAATCAGATGAAATTTCTGGGAATGCTTGCATATCTACAATCCTTATGAAGAGTTTCCATGTAAAAACAGAGACCACAGCTTTTCTCATTGATGTACTAATTCAGATGACATAAACAGATCATAGCACTTGAACGTAAGCATACGTGTGTCAGATAACAAATGTACAGACAAAGAATGTGGCCATCTCATGGATGCAAGCAAATCTGCACATGAACAGGGAAAGAAAATAATGAACTCAATGTACACCACAAATTCAGTAAACTCTATCTTCTCCACTTGTCGACCTCTCTAGAAGTTGCTTTGATTAGCTTCTTGGTGTTCAGAACAAGCTCATCGATGAGCGCACCAATCTCGTCCCTGAAACCAATAAGCCAGTTCAAAATTCAAACTACATAAACAAATAAAAGAGAGTACGAGCTTAGTGCCTAAACCATGACAGCATTTTTTTTTCCCTTCCTGTAATGGAGAGGATAAGGAAATAATTTGAATGGATGTTTCTCCTTTTAACTTCTTTTCCCTTCTCAAGTATCGTGTTTTCAAGTAGAATAGCATATCAACCTACCCTTTCTAGGGAATAGTTGAAATTTTTTTGGGATTCTAGTGCCATATTTGAAACTGGCAACTTGCTCTCTCATTGAGAGTCTAAAAACATGCCAAGCTGGAATTCAAAAGATTAGGCTCTAAATGCTAAAGATTGTCAATGTCCCATGCGAAGGCAATGGGGTTGTTTGTGGGATGCAACAGAACTAATCTGGGTCATATGTTGGCACAAGTTATAATTCGCACAGCCTTGTCACAGCCCTGTCTTGCTGTAATTTGACAGTATCTGGTATGACAAAACCACCACATCACACGTCTTATACAAACATTTGTAGAAAGGACACTAATACTTTTGAGAAGTGATGAAGAAGAGGCAATGGGAGAGAGAGAGAGAGAGAGAGAGAGAGAGGAAGCCCTAATCCTGTCTGAATCCCACTGGAACTGCAGGATTACAACAATATCGGATCTGATCTCTTCAGTTGAGTGTTATTTCAAAATGCCCTAGCTGGTGTTGAACCCAGCACCTCTGAGACACTCCTTGTCATTGACAGAACACAATTGCATCCCATTTTGTGAGGTTAAACATGTAAACTACTTTCATTTCTTTCCCTAATTAAAGATTTATTGAACTTGTCCCCATTTTTAGTAACAACTGTATAACCCCTGCTGGCAAGGCTTGCGCTTCTCCTTCTACAATGCATAAGTTACTGCAGATTAAGTTCTGAGGTATTGGGCAAACTGAATAAACTAAAGTTCTTTGTAATTGTGCAGCAATGGTGATTCTTTGGTGCATATGGTTTAAAAACTGTTCATGATCATTCTGTTCCTTTAAACTTTGTTTTGGAGATATAACTGTGTCCCTCAGTTCTTTATAGACCCTATCTACTAAGAGTTTCAGGGGAGGTGCTTTTTTTGTATTTTCAATAGAGTTATAAGGTAGATCTCTTTTAGTTTTACATTTTATTTAATTTTGTTTACTTCAATATGTTTTTTCTCTTATTTCTCTCTTTTTTTTATTTTTACCTTTAAAGGTTGTACATAATTGTCAATGGTGTATGGACAGAGATGATGTGCATGAACACAGTAACAATTTATTTTTATATCTCGAAGTTTGTGGTTAAATTCCTATTAAAAATGTTCGTTTTCAAACTCACATCCAAAAAAGATTGATGGACTTTTTGGGTGTGATTTTCTTTTTTTAAATCATGGTTGTACTAAAATGATGGAATGCAATTCAGGTGGCCGATTAGACAGAGGCAGTGGGTGACATATGGTGGCCTTGGATTAAAGAAATGGCAATAGTGCCTACCATCTAAACATAGAAAGAGGTCAAAAAAGTGATATTCTGAAGGATTGCATAGTGAACATATAAAAACAAGAGAAACAGCAATATATACAGTTAATAACCGTTACTGCTATCACATTTTCCTCTTTAATCATGACTTTACTATTCATTCTGGAATACCCCTTATATTACCATTGATAATCTTGTGAATAAAGTGCAACATGGATAGTGAAAACTAATCACGATAACTTGGAAAGGGAGTGGTTCTAATGAACAAGATTTTGACTATGTGAGCGTATGTTCTATGGACCCCACCCTTCTTCCTTCTCGTTTCTCTTCCTTTTTTTTTTTTTTTTCCCAGTAGTGTTGAGGGTGGTTGACAAGGAGTTCTCATGTTGTTTGTGTGAATGTTTTGCCGTTTATGTTTTTACGTATACTATAAACTGAAAATTCCTAAGATCATTTAATAATTTGGTCTTGAATACCATTTGTCCATCTCTCCACAGACCTGTCACTGACAACCTTGCAGTAACCTGTCACCGATAGTTCAAAATATTCCATGAAATGAGTTGCATGCAATTTAACAGTTAGCATCTTGATAGACAAACTTACTGAGTAGGAAGATTTCCTGGCCCGTTAAAAACTTTCCCAACATTAGAGTATCTCCGATTCCCATCATAAGCAAAACCCCTCCCAACACCATAGCCGAATCCTAAACCAACACCACATCCAGCACCAAATCCAAAACCAATCTGTAAACCAGGGATCCCCAGGCCTAAGCCCGAACCTGAGATAAAACTTAGCAATCAAGCACTGGAGTGAAGTGGAAAAGACTTATCTTGAAGCATATCTTAAGTCCGCATCAGAAGGAAAGAGCCACTAAATTATCAGTAGACATGCTAAATGAAATGAACACAAAGCAATTGCCAAACATTTGAATCCAAGCCATCATGAGCCATTTTAGTTGTTGGTATGTTATTGGGGTTCAACATATCTGTATAATAAAACACATAGGAAGTTGAATTTTATCTCATATGCATCCCACCCAAAACCATCACATCACCCATTTCTATCACATGTTCAATCATTTAATATTTGACTAATTTGTAGTTTAACATAATTTTTATTTCAGACATTACCATACACGATAATATACATATGTTGAGAAGATTTTATCGAATTACGGATTTGAGAAAATTGTCAATATTTTTAAGAAAATAATGGGTAAAAATAAATTTTGAATGATGTAATCAAATAAATTAAGGAAAAAAATTATTATTTAATATAGTAAGATCAATTTTCAGGTTTTTGAATTTTATATTCTATCGTACCTTCAAGAACAAGTTATAACTAGTATAGATATATAATATAGAGAGAGTGAGCTGGGAGAGGGAGAGTGCATGTGTGAAGGGGATTATCTAAACCTAAAAAGCATCTTGGCAATGAGTGCATAATCTCCTCAATCGTATAAGCTAACTTTGGTGACGCTAATCTGTTAATGTGAAATACAAGCTCCAGAGAGGCCCTCAACCATTTAACCAAAACGAGGTCGTTCCAAACTTCTGATGTAGGATATACACTCCGTTTACACCCTTGGCCTGATTTCAAAGTTAATGGCACAAACATAACAAAGAGTCCTTGCAAACTCAACTGTGTGTGACAATGCATCATTCCCACTTTAGTGCATCACTGACCGGTACCATTATCTCATTCTATCCTAAAACAATCCAATCATCTAGTTTTGTCTCAGTTGTAAAACTAGCAAGATAAATTTCTCTAAAAATTTTAAAAAATATAATCACAAAGTAGTCGTTCAACTGTGTGCCGATGTTAAGATTAGTGTTATTTAAGGCGTAAGGTGAACTAAGGCGCCAAAGGTCTTTTGAGACCTAGGCGACAAGATGCATGGCAAGTGCTTCATTGAAGCAAGGCAAACATTATAGATGACAAGCACTCAAAAGCACAAACATCCAAATTTCATCAACCACCAATAATATCTTAAGTTCTTAACATTTGAAGACATGGGTCAAACTCTCAAAACAACTAAACATTCAGTTCACTCTTCCACCCATCATAAGGACCTAAAAATCATCTCCATAACCAAGGTAATCATCTTCATCATCTTTATTGGATTTGTATCCCTCCACATCTTACTCCTTGGCCTCATTTAAAACAGTTTTTTCCTGTATGTGTAGCCTCAGGGGTGGAGTCAGAAAAAATTTTACGGTGAGCACATTAGTATGTTTTAATTTTTTTTTTAATAAACCGTAAAAGTTCATAAATTTATATTTATTAAAATTATATTTAAAAATTTTTAAACAAAAAAAATTAAAAATCGGTATACATAACATGAACAAAAAAATAATAATTAAAACTTCTTATTGAGAATGAAACTAATTATTATTACTTATAATTGATCTTGATATACTTTTATTATTTGAAAAAGTTACAAATTAATTTTATCAACAATATTTCTTTTATTTATAAAATCACAGTAATAATCTTCCATTTAGAATCCTATAGTTTACTACATAACGACACACATTTTATACAATAACAAAATAACCCTACAATTTAAAAAATTATTAAATAATATCAATATATTCAAAACATATTCGGAGATGTCTAAAACATGTCTAAAAAATAACAATTATATTAGTTGTACCTAATTTGAGATTTAATTAATAAAAACCCAACGGTTTGTGACCATTGGATAGATAGTAGAGTTTATTAAATATTAAAACTCACTATTATACTTAATATCGCAATGTATTAGGTCCTTAAATTAGGTTTCAATAATATTGTTCAAAAATTAACAATCATTTAGGTAAAGATCTATTCAAATCAATATAACTAGAACACAATATTAGGGTGGGCACAATTAAATATGTCTAAATTTTATTTCAAAAAATACATGCTTAATATGAAGCAAAAAAAATTGAGGGGGGCCAAAATTTTTATTTTTTTAATAAGTTTTGGTGGATTGTGATAGATCAAACATTTGATTTTTTAATAAGTTTAGGTAAATAGTAATGAACTCAAATTTTTTTTGTTTTAAATGAGTTTAATTTTTTAATTCTTTTGGATAAATAATGTGGGCCTAACAATTTTATCTTGAGTTTTGAGTGAGCACAAATAATGTATTATACAAATATATAATATATATACCTAACTAATAAAAAAACAAAATTGAGGGGGGGCACTTGCCCACCCTGGCCCATGCCTCCCTCCACCCCTGTGTAGCCTTATAGGTATGGCTGGTGATCTTGAAACCATTGGTGCTGCACTGCATTTGTCCTAGAAGTTGATGTTGATCTAGTTTGTTGGCTACTTTCTCCAACTTCAAAAGCTCAAGCACCAACACCCCACATCAATAAAGCATAGTTGCACATCAATAAAGCATTGCCCCCCAAACTACTACAAGATCCTTGTGGGCCTTTCTACACATTGTCAATCGTTCTTGGTTAGACACATTAACATGGTCTTAGAGCTATGCTTGGGGAGGGTTTGGGCAAGACTTAATTTTTTCGTT